CTCCACCCCCCCGTGGAAATTTAGGTCTCCGGTGGGATTTGGGGGTGCTCGGGTGGCGGGGGGAGGGGCCCAGGCCCGAGGTCTGCGGGGAAAGGGGGGCGACGAGGCTGCTAGAGGCCAAAATGGGGCCTATAGGCACCTATAGACACGTATAGATATGTATAGACAGGCGTATACGCACAGACACGCCTTGGGGTGTGCGTGTAGGGGCACGCATAGGCACACGTTGACACACAAACATATATACGTACGCGTGCATATACATACACCCCCCGAAGGGCGTGAATATGGGGGCATACGTAGATATATATACATACATGTATGTATGCAGGCATATACATGCACATATATGCACATACGCACACCCATACACCTGTATACACACACGTATGCGCATATACACACACACATACACCCATGTATATGTACATTTGTATATGCACCTGTATACACACATCTACGCACCCATACGCGCATACAGACATATACACGCAGGCATATGTACGCGTATACACGCGTATACGCACCCATACGCGCATACAGACATATACACGCAGGCATATGTACGCGTATACACGCGTATACGCAAATACGCACACATATAAATATATATACAGAGGCATATGTACACGTATACACACATATACGCACCCATACGCACATATAAATATATATACACAGGCATATGTACACGTATACACACATATATGCACCCATATGCACATATAAATATATATACAGAGGCATATGTACACGTATACACACCCATAGACATGTAAACACACATATACGCACACACAGGCACACATATATGCCCACACACATAAGCACATACATATACACGCATCTATACTCCCCTGTACCCACGTATACACCTATATTCACCCCCCACACACATATATGCACGCACACATATGCACATACGTGTACACACATCTATACCCCCCCATACCCCTGTATACGCCTATATTCACACCTGTGCACACATATACAGACACACATATGCACACACATATATACCCACGCACACATATATGCACGCACACACGCATACGCACGCACATAAACACACATCTATACCCCCCCATACCCATGTATACACCTATATTCACACCTGTACACACATATACGCGCGTATATGCACACACATACGCATACATGCACACCTATATGCACACACACATGCACACACGTATATACACCCCTATAGCCACGTATACACCTCTATTCACCCCTGTACATACATATATGCACACACACACATATATACTCCTCTATAGCCACATATACACCTCTATTCACCCCCATACACACCTATATGCACACACACACGTATATACTCCCCTATAGCCATGTATACACCTCTGTTCACCCCCGTACACACCTATATGCACACACACGCACGTATATACTCCCCTATAGCCACGTATACACCTCTGTTCACCCCCGTACGTACATATATGCACACACACACACGTATATACTCCCCGATAGCCACGTATACCCCTCTATTCACCCCCGTACACACCTATATGCACACACACACGCCCCCACACGTATGCACACACATCTATACCCCCCCATGCCCACGTATACACCTCTATTCACTCCCCCCCCACAAGCACACCCCTATACACCCCTATAGGCACCCCTATATGCACCCCC